TTAAAACCTTAATATCATGCCATTTTACTTGCTTGCGATCTTCATCTACATTGAAATTATTTCCCCATTCTTCTTGCAACATTTTAGTGTCATAAAACTTTTCAAATCATAAAACTCGTTCAAGTTGGCAAGGACTGATGTAAGGATTAGCTTTCCATGGCGATTCTCTTCTTAGCCTCTTCTTTAATCTCTTTATTTTTTCAGCATGCTGGTAATTTCGATCTTCATTGACAACGCCTTTACTTATAGTTAGTGTGTCAGTATCAAGAATAGCCCTGGTTGCAGTTTCAGAATAAGAAATACTGCTAGAATTTTTAGATGACATACTTGAAGAAGACGAAGATGAGTTAGGAATATGACTTTAGGGGCCAGTTGCTTCTTTTACTTGGCGAAACAAAAAGATCATTTTCAATTTGCTCGTATGGTTTGGCTAGTACGGCAGTATTTAAATGACTATTTTATTTATTATTTTGTGCTTCTATACTAATAGGAATTGCTAACTTTTGTCCATTATCTGTTAAAAGTTTTTCTTTACACTTCTTTAATAATATTAAGAAGAAAACGGCCCCGACTCATTTTTCTCTGAAAATAAGTAAGGTGGCTATTGTAAGTTTTAAAAATCAAACAATTGTGAGTTACGTTAAAAATTAAACAATAGGTAGATAATTTGATGAAAAATAATATTTTTTTGAAACGGGTACCATAACACTGTAAACAATGATTTTTGGGAGACTGTATAATATCACGTTTTGTACAGAAAGACATTAAAAAAATATTATTGCAATAAAAGCAGTTTCACTAGAAATTTACTCGTTGACCCATCTATACAATTTCTACTTACAGTACGAAAACTCTATGTTCTGAATCTCATTTTAACGTGCCACAAATCTTTGCCTTATGTCAACCTAAGTCATAAAAGAAAGAAGGATGTTGTTGCCCCCGTCACTGCTGTACGTACTGCTTTTGCCAGAAGACAATATAGAGGTCAATCCGCCCATATATACAACAAAGTAAATAAAATACTTAAAATATACCCCATGTTATCTTACACTTGCAAGAAAACTTTAATAGAATGGTTGGACTCACTTAGTTATGAAGATGTTGAAAAACTTTTTATAAGAATTAATTAAATCTCCGGTTAAACTTAATGTCGATACCTGTATGCGGAATACCCATACCGATCCCAACGAACCTCATTCGTAGGGCTTACAGGTGACCGACATACACACGCACACATAAACACAAACACACACACACACACACACACACACACACACACACACACACACACACACACACTAAAATATATAATATAGTTTAATAGTCTTATTGAGGATACCGTAAGGGAAGTAGCGAGTTATTCCCAACACAAGTGTCTATGACTACTTAAAGGGAAAACTCGACAAATCTTTGTTATAAGACTTTTGAAAATAAAGGAATTTTTATTATTTTTATTTATTATACAAGATCAAGTAAAAAAACAAAAACAAAATTATGTAGGTACCTTATGAAGCAAATCTGGAAGAAGTCAAAATATTCTGAATTAATATGGCAGAATAATTCACCAATACTGTAACAATCCACATTAACTTGCAACTTCGTTTTCGTTTATGTAAATGCGTGCACTCTGTAGAAATAGCGAAGGCCAACTGACAACATACTTGTTTAGGTGGGAGGAGTCTGCCATGCGTTGGGTCAACAGAACAAAGCTAACGCCGTCTATCGACGAGAGATTTAAGCTTTTCTTGAACCTGTTATGGTGGAGAATAGTATAAGAGGGTAGCGTATGATCACCAAGCATTTGGATATTAGGATATGTCAAAATAAGCGATTTTTGACTTGTCCCAGTTTAGATCTAAATGCCGCAGGCTAATGATATATATATATACAATATGTAACAAAAACCCTGTGGTTCCCGTTAAGTACGTTATCAGGATCATTATTCAAACGTGTAGAAATAACTTGTTTTTTAAAAACTCGAATAATAATTTGTTTATTTTATTTTTAAAAAAATTTATGCAAATTGTACGTGGTTTTATTACCTCTGCATTCATTGTCTGAGGAGTAAGAGGATTGTTAAAGACCCCGCTTTACTTAGCTTTAGCATCGGCTAGTGTCAGTGAGAGGTAATAAAACCACATAAAATTACATTTTTTTAAATAAAATAAAAAAATATGGTAGTTTTTAAAAAAAAAGTTATTTCTATAGGTTTGAACACTGATTCTGATAATGTACTTGACGGAAACCATAGGGTATATATATATATATATATACATCATTAGCGTGCGGCAGTCCAGTGCTGGACATAGGCCTCTCCCAAGGCGCGCCACTTAGCCCGATCTTTTGCTACACGCATCCAGTTGCTACCAGCCACCTTGCGCAGATCGTCGCTCCATCTGGTCAGGGGGCGTCCCATATTACGTTTACCTAGACGTGGTCTCCACTCCAATACACGTCTACTCCACCGGTTGTCACCTCTGCGACAGACGTGGCCAGCCCATTGCCACTTCAGTTTACAAAACGGAAGGCTATGTCAGTAATCTTGGTTCTCCGGCGGATTTCTTTATTTCGAATTTTATCTACCAGAGAAACTCCGAGCATAGCTTTTTCCATCGCTTGATTCCAAAAGAATAATATAATCGGGTCATAAGTTCTGTCAAAACCTTATTATTTAAAATTTTGAATATTATTATTATTTTTTTATATTAATTATATTTTGACATTATTATTATTATTAATTTATTTTTCCTTCGTTTATATGTCAGTGTTACGGCCTACGGCTGATTCTCCAAAGTTCAATCATCCGGGGCCCATCAGCGGAGACTTCACGAGCAGACGTAGGTCGGGCCTCCATATGGCCACGTGGAATATGTTCTATCACAATAAACTATATGGGAGAAAGCTAGAAACACATAGTACTTACCATTATCCGAAGCTAACTTCGTACCAAGGCTTGGGCAGGCCGTGAGTGTGTGTAATAGTGGGTGGCGAGTAGTGTACAGTGAGGTGTAAATGTCTGCGACCTGAGCAAGCTTAGGCGACCAGCAGCGGCCGAGTTCCAGGCTGCCCCAAAATGCTGCATCGCTCCAGCAGGCTTCAGCGCCGGACCACTTCTTTCTTCACTGTCACTACTCAGTCTCTCAGCTTCATTGTACATTTAACTAACTTCAATTCGCCTAAATCCACACTTATCGCAGAATCGAACGTGATATCCGACACGGCAAGGACAGTAGCACAAAAATCGACATAGAATGTCCCGGATTCCCTTATCACTAATTATAAATTCGGCACCAGAATAACACGTCGCGCCAGAGTCAAAATACGCCTCGTTGACACGCAAATTAATCTAACTAGGAATGCGCAGCTCGAACCCTAGACCGTATATCTACTAGACGCGCGAACACTATTCCGCACTCTCGCCCGAGTTAAATATCGCACAATTCACATATCTACGTGTCGAAGAAGCACGTACTTCATCTAGGTATCTAGATCCACTCCCCGCCTCGTGGCTGGCGCGGCACCGACGTTTTGCCCACGCGTCGAGTGACTGCCCCCGCGTCGAGCTAGCGACTGCCCACGCGTCGAGCTAGCGACTGCCCACGCGTCGAGCTCGGTCGTCCCACCTCGGCGCTTATCTCACCTACATACCATCGGGTGAGGCGCCAGCTTGAACGCAATTGGTTGGCGTTAAACATGACCAATTTTGGGCATAAACAGTCAGTTCGTTTACTATAAAATCATTGCTTGTGGATAGTTTTTCCAATTTGAAATATAAATAATTGCGAATAATAATAGTAATTTAGCGACCAACAGCAGTTTTGCATTGTTACGCGTAGCGCTCGAGTTTAGTGGTAATCAAGGAATATACCTACTATTCTCTAAGTAGTAAGGATCGATATTCCCAGTCGAGTCTACTCTAAGAAAAATACATATGTAGATACGACAATTTCGTAAGTGCGCTTTGTTGTTCGCCATATTCCTATGGATAGACATTAACGGACGAGAATTTAAGTAAGCGCCTAAATTTTATATATAAGTGATGTCATTTATTACATTTTTTAGTCATGGTGACCAGAACAAATTGGTTCTCGATGAAAGTACGAGGTAATTTTGTAATTTTTTTCAGTCGGGAAAATATTATTCTATTATGTTTTTAATCAATGACATCCCTTGCAATTACAATGCAATATCGATATTAATAATATTTTGTTACATTGAACTTGATTTAGCTATGTAAAATCGGATCTAAGATTGGCAATTTTTCTTTGTACGCCCTCTTAAACTTTTAGAGGTACCCAATTGTTTGCATGTCTTGATGAATTTCGAGGTGTCTTGCGAAAATAAACGCCCCGTTTTTGTAATATTCCAATCTTACACTTGACCTGCTTTTAATATGTCACATTGACATGTAACACTTAAGGTAGGGACAGTCTCACGTACGCAACGTATGCGATGAAACGCTCCTACGTTAGAGTGTACACACTTGACCTACGTATGCAACGTACGCAGTATTGCCAAAAAGTAAATTAGCTCTCCACCAGATTCAACTTCTTAAACCACCAGAAAACCACTAACAAAAATCAACTCTACACTCGTAACCCCTAAATTTTCTACTAAATATTTTTGTAATAGGGTCGAAACCACCAGTTTTAGTGGAAAATCCACTAAGTTGGCAACACTAGTGGGATTGCGTACGAACATCCCCTCCACCTTCCCACGCCGATCTAGACATCACTGATCGACGTTGTGTCGAACGCGTGTGATTGCGTTGCATACGATAAGTGTGTTTCTAGTGTATAGTTTTTCATACAAAATCAAGCGTTCAGATGTCATAATGCGTTGCATACGTTGCGTACGTGGGACTAGTCTGTCATTACTTAAACAACGAAAATATAATTTGATCAAATGACGGATAAATTAATGTTTTTAAAAATTTTAGTTACCTATAGTCCTTTTAACTTTTTAATTAAATATAATAATATGAAACTTGGTTGTTTCAGTTGTACGAGGAATTGCAATTAAATGTGAAAGAATATACACAAGTAGCTATGAGAACATCTGAAGACATGAAACTTTCGCACCAATATGAAACAGTTAAATAATGGTAAATGTATTTTTTTTATTTTAATAAATGAACTTTGAATACTGTAATATAACGTTTCTTTCCCATAGAATCCCTATCAATACTCATCCCTTATTAGACTTACTACAATTGATAGTAAAATTAAAGTACCTACACTATTCACATGTATTCTATTTTAATACTGATCTCAAAGTTGATTCATTCTCCTTTATCTGTACGTAACTAGTAATAGTTTTATTTATTAGTGGGAGAATAAAAAATAGGTTTCAGTTTATAATAATGTTTACTTATTTCCCAAAATTTTACATATTTTGTAATAACATCTATATATCACACATGGTACATGTTGCAGTATAATGACTTAATAACAACCATAATGGATTCTTTTGCGAACGTCTCAGAAATATATACGACTGTATTAATTTAAATGATTGCCACAAATTTTTACCCAAAGGTAAAAAAAGTTTCACTTTTATTCATATTAACTTAAGGTCTATGATAAAAAACTTTGTAATGCTAAAGGAATGTATAAATTCTAGTAAAATAAATTTAGACTGCATTGCCATAACGGAAGCCAACATATCTAATAATTTAGTATCTATGTTTAATATTGATGGCTATACAATGCATAGTATCTTAAGAACTAAAAGAAAGGGGGGTGGAATAATTATTTATGTACGTAAGAACCATAAGTTTGAAATTATAACTATAAAAACATTACACTGTGAATCACTTATAAGCAAAATTACCACCTATAATATGCAAACATTCCATTTCTGTATAATATATAGACCACTGAACGAGGACAAACACTTGTTTAGTTGTGTCACATAATAAAAGATAATTTTGCTAAAAAACATAACTTAATCATCCTGGGTGATATGAATATTAACATTAAATGCATTACACCTATTCAAGAATATTATTTAAGTAAAATAGCTGAGTGCGGTCTAACGTGTGCGATAACAGATTACACCAGAATAGAAAAAAGAAAAGACAAAATTACTAAAACTTGTATAGATCACATCTTTGTGCGATCGCGCACGTTAGACTTGTACTCTGGCGCTATTGGTACTGTATTAGCAGATCATCGCATGACTGTGCTTGCATGCGTCGCACCTGTTTCGTTCATACGGGATGAATTTGAAAATATTATTTTATTTTATATGATAATAAAAAGCTTCATACAATGCTAAACGAAATAGACTGGTCACCGGTAAATTATATGCAATACCCTATTAGTATAAACAATTTTATCAAAACTAAATTTATGGACTGCTACAGTAAATGTCAATCAATTAAAAAAATAAAACAAAGTAGCAAACGAAATGAAGAGAATTAGCTAAATAAAGACATCACAAATATGTGTAAAATAAGAGATGATTTGTTTACTAAATGGAAAAATGACTCAAATAATAAACTTTTAAGGATAGAATATAATAAATATAGAAATAAAACAATTAAATTTATTGAAAAAACTAGAAATAATTACTTTTATCAAAAAATCAATAATAACATGTTTAATCCAAGATATACGTGGAAAATTGTAAACAGACTTTGTGGCAAGGTTACCGAAACACTAGATGAATCATTAAATAAAGAATTTAACTTCAAAAGCCAAAATAGTAAAACAATAGCCGACAATTTTGCCAATGAATTTCATAGAAACATAAAAAATATAATACCAAATTGTACCAGTAAAATTCTATCGGAAGATTTGTACACAAATACAGCAGATACGTCTATACGGTTTCAAAAAGCAAACACAAAGCAAATAAAAAATATAATACAATCACTTAACACAAAAAAGGCATCAGGTGCTGACGGAATTCGTACGATTGACATTAAAGCTATATCAGAAAAAATAGCTAAAGTAATTGTCAAGTTAATTAACAGTAGTATAAATACAGGCATATCTATCCTACAGATTTAAAATTAGGTTTGGTACGACCTATCTACAAAGGTGGACATCAAGACGATTACAATAATTACAGGCCTATTACTATACTCCCAATAATTGACAAAATTATAGAAAAATTCACATCCAACCAGCTTCATAATTATTTTCAAAAACATAAAATTATTTCGGCATCTCAATACGGATTTCAGCCAAAAAAATCTACTACACAGTTACTGTCAAACTTTACAGACGAAGTAAACAAATGTCTAGATGAGAAAAAGCGTGTATTAATTGCTTTCATTGATTTTAGTAAAGCCTTTGATACCTTAAAACATGATATTATTCTAAGAAAACTTAAAAACTCTGGTGTTAAAGGACCCTTCCTAAGATGGTGTAAAGATTATGTGAGGAATCGATATTTCCAAGTAAAGATAGAAAATGATTGTTGCTGACGGCTCCGTGGCGCAGTGGCTTAGCAATCAGTTGTTGCGCTGGGGGCCGCGGGTTCGAATCCCGCACGGAACAAGTATTTGTATGGCCAACAAATAATTTTTCCGGGTCTGGATGTTTGTCCTTGTGCAATTTATGTTTGTAAACTGCCTCCACGACACAGGAGAAAATCCTAGTGTGGGGGTAACGTTTATATATATAAAATGGACAGTCACTCGCTCCTTAAGTAGAGAGCGGTTGCGTCAGGGATCTGTATAAAAGGCACTTGTTTTGGCTCGCCGCTCACTTAGCGGTAAGCCACCGTAGAGACTATATCACCTGAGGATGCCTCGTGTAGAGGCGAAACACGTGTCGTATTATCGTCAGTGGTGTGTCTCGCCTAGTGTAGTGGTGTTGGGAGTAGTGGTGACGGGGATAGTGCACGCAATTGAGGGAGGGCGGGAGGTGCTCTTCATACTAGGTAAGACACATCATTTTATTTTATAACGCGGATATTTGCGAAGTAAATTTTTCTAAAAGCTTTTATATAATGTATTTCCGCAAAATAATGCCTGATTCTATTAATTATAGTCTTGTATTAATTTATTTTACTAAATAGGCCGCAGCCGCATTTCGAGCCACAGCCACAGAGTACTTTATTTACTCCGAGCTCAAATGCCGTCGTGAGTGGTCGTTTTTTATAGTGGCTCGTGCAGATAAATATCGATCGCCGTAGAAATACAAAATGTTCCAAAAACCAAATTTGATACATTCTTGATCAAGGTAAGATATTATTATTATTTTTATAATCACAGATTTTTATTACAATATTTTGTTTCGCTAAAAGCACGCAGGATTTATATATAAATATACTTATATGTCTTGGACTTTATAGAGACCTGAAGAACTAGATTTGCAGAGTTTCGTTTCGTTTTGTTAGTTATGATGAGACCTTACCTCCGGACTTGTTAGAGTGACTTTAAAGTGTACTTTGATGACTGCTACTGGAACTCCTCGACGAAGAGAACTAGATGTGCCGAGTTTGGCTTCGTTTTGTTAGTTATAATGAGACCTTACCTCCAGATTTGATAGTGACTTGAAAGTGTATTTTGAAGACTGCTACTGGAACTCCACGACGGGTAGAACTAAATGTGCCGAGTTTGGCTTCGTTTTGTTAGTTTTGATGAGACCTTACCTCCGGACTTGATAGAGTGACTTGAAAGTGTACTTTGAAGACTGCTACTGGAACTCCTTGACAAGGAGAACTAGATGTGCCGAGTTTGGGCTCGATTTGTTAGTTATGATGAGACCTTACCTCCGGACTTGATAGAGGGACTTGAGAGTGTACTTTGATGACTACCACTGGAACTCTTCGATGAGGAGAACTAGATGTGCCGAGTTTAGCCTTTTTTTGTTAGTTATATAATATAATAGATATATAGAATAGACTTTACTTCCGGACTTGACGGACTGACTTCAAGGTGTACTTCGTTGACTGCTACTGGAACTCATTGACGAATAGAACTACAATTTACAATTTTTTTTATAGGATAAGGGTGAAAAACGAACACACAGTCCACCTGATGGTAAGTGGTTGCTGCGGCCCATAGACATCTACATCTATCCTCTGTTACAGATCAAAATGCAGATGCGTTTTCACCCGTGAGGACTAGGATGGAATGCCTCATTTCCAGTTAAAAGGGCCTCCGGCCGCCTGCACTCACCAAGCGAAACGCAGAGGTAAACCTCTACTTCACGCTGGTATTCTGCGAGGTCGTGGTACCACCCCGGTTCGAGGCGGCCCATCCATGCGACAGCAAAAGCTGCCGCCTGGCTCTACCACTGTTAATAACTTACTATTTAATTTTTCACTATCATTGGGCATTGTGAGTCGTGCACTTTTGGATTTTCCAAACTTTTTTTAATTGATGTTTGACAAAGATATCAGAAAATTAAAAGTATAGTTACAAGGTTATTAGTGAAAACTTGTGTGTATTTAAACTACTTAAAAAAATTAAGTATAATCATGTTATATGTCATGCAGAATTGGATTTACCAATCGTTTTTGGGTTTTCCGTCAATGAATTCTCAGTAGCAGTCTGGAGTGATTGCAGCAATGTTTCACCCCCGTACCTCGGAAAGTACGTACATTGGCCCTGAGCCTGATCTCTCTCATTGGTCGTGTCAGATTTCCATCCCACTGGACTATTGTAGAAGAGTGAGGGAATAGAAAGTGCATGTGTGTTTGTGCACACACTCATGTACTGTAACTCTGTCCTACGCAAATGGCTAATCTTTGTGGACACTGGCCGTCATGACAGATATTCTATCTGAAGGATATTACAATATATTTCATCTATGTTAGAACTATAGATATCAAAATTCTACTAACAATTTTACTTCCATCAAAATTGTAATACTGAATAAAGCTTCCTAGATTACTTCATATGGGGGGAAATTTACCTAATATCTGTCTTAGTTCCCACTTGCCACACTTGATGGGCGGGTTTGTATTCTTTTTTATTATTATTTTAGTTGTTAATAGAAAGATGCAGCTGCTAATCTTCTGCTTCATTTCCCTCTCGCCTCTTACGATACACACGGGATGATATGGAGTAATGTTTTTCTTAACCCGCTAATACACAGCGACTACCACTGTCAATATCAGACTGGCTTCTGGTTTAATTATA